AAGAGTCCTGACCTTTTCAGGGCAAGGATGAGCATCGTTGCCAGTTTCCCCAATTAGTCCCGGTACGGTATCATCCCGGTGCTGATGGCTGCCATGTCCCTTTGTATGTCAATTCCAGGACACTCCATGCTTCAAACTTCCTGGTTGTCCCTGAAACCTAATCCACCTCATTCTAGTATGTTCTGAGGATGAACGTGGGCTGCTACCGTGTCCTTGTGACTTGTTTTCATAGTCAGCCACAGTGTGAAAATACTGAAAGGAATTTTTCAGAAACAGGTGATTTGTAGATTTTAAATAATATTACTAAATATAGCATTCCTATTTTATTATCATTAGTCTTTTATTGTGCCTAATTTGTTAAAAACTAGTAGATACTATGTTTTGTTTTGTTTTTTGTATACATTAAGTAATAAGTTTGAAACTACCTGGTCCCAGACACCTGGGGGGGGTTCTTATAATGTATCCCCTGAGGATGAGGGTCTTCTCAGCTCTAAGGAAGTCCCCCAAATATATCAGAATTCCTTTCTTTCTTGCAATCCACCAAAATCTACCCTCTTCAGTAGACACTGTACTGTATGTGTGAATTGGGTGATGTCAGTAGATACACTGGGAGGTCACTGCAGCTCCCCCTTAACCTTCAGGTTGACAGTGACTTACGCTGTGAGTGGGCCTGTTGCTTAGCTTGTATGCTCCTTCAGTTTCCCCAAAGGCTGTATCTACTTGCGGGCCTCAGTGCATATGTCGCCTCCCTCTACCCTGGGCCAGCCCATTGAAAGAAGACCTCAGCCGGGTGCCAGGTGTGTGTGAGTCATAGGAATCCAGGCTTCAAGTTATGTGTGGATGAAGGCAGATGGAGGGGTTATTTTTCTTTTTTATTTTTTGCTCCGTTGCACTTAAGTCACATTTTCCTACCCTCCGCTCCAAGCTCTAAAAGCATTTTGTGGTATAAAATCTGCCATCATCTGATCCACTGTACCGAAATAAACCAGCTCCCCTGTCGTCATCTTCCCTGAAGAGTGCCCCTGCGTCATGCTGTGAGGCTGGTGGGAGCAGCCTGGCCTGTTTAGAACACTTCATCATAATCCTCACCGAGTCCCCATCCTCTCAGCTCCCTGGGGGGCGGCTGCTCAGGTTTCTCGGGCTGTTATTACTGGAATGCCAGCTGCTCTACTTACAGAGGCCGTCCACACAGAGCCGCTCTGTCTTAGACCTTGCACACCTCTGCTTAGCTCATCTCAGGAAAACACCATATAAAAGATAAATAAATGCCAATGTGGCATGTCCTTCTAACCTTCACTGCCTTCTGGCTTCCCACCCCTGCGCATCAAATGATCCATGAGCGTGCTACTGCCTCCCAGAGTCCATCCTATGGCAGTTAACATGTCAGTCCACATCTGTCCACAGATGCAAACCCAAAGCTGTGCAATCAGTGTAAGAATAGCAACCAACATTAAAAAAAAGAAGAAGAAAAGAAAAGGAAAAGTGTATCTGTCTTTAATCCCAGCACTTGGGAGGCAGAATCAGTCAGATCTCTCTGAGTTTGAAGCCAACTTAGTCTACATACCAAGTTCCAGGACAGCCAGGACTATGCAGAAAAGCCATGTCTCAAACAAAGCAAAACAAAACAAAAAGCCTAAATTTAATATATATGTATGTAGCTATGTGTAAGTGTGTGTCTGTGTAAAGTATAAGTTAGGTTAAGTTGCAAATGGAGTTTTGACAACTTGTTAGTAAAGGTGCTCCTCCTTGTATGTTGGAGCTGCCTTCCATGTTCCATGATAAGCTGAGAATAGCAAAATCAGGAATATACTTAGGGGGCTGGGCCTACTGGCTCATTGCCTTTAATCTCAGCACTTACAAAGCAGAAGCAGGGGGATTCTGTGAGTTTGAGGCTGGCATGGTCCACATAGTGAGTTCTAGGACAGCCAGGGCTATGTAGAGAGACTCTGCCTCTGATATGTACGTGTATATGTGTGTGTGCATATATAGATACACATTTATTTATTTGTTTGTTTATTTATTTATTTATATGTGTGTGCTTCAGAGGTGGCTGGGTAGGTAAAGTGATTGTCATGCAAATGGGAGGCCCTGAGTCTGAGTCCCTGGAACCCATGTGAAGTCGGGATCAGTTACACACATCTGTAATCCCACTGCTCCTGTATTGAAATGGGAAGCAGAGCCAGGAGAAGTGCTGGAAGCTCTTGGGCCCAGATCCCCTCTCAAACAGAAGGGTGACACCCAAGGTTGTCTTCTGACCTACACATGAATTGGGTGGCACATGTTTGCCCACACTCAACACACATGAACACACACATACACATTATACATACACAAAAAGTTCTTTTAAAAATACATATTTGGGTGGAGAGATGGCTCAGTGGTTAAGAGCACTAACTGCTCTTCCAGAGGACCCAAGTTCAACTCCCAGCACCCTCATGGCTGCTCACAACTGTCTGTAACTCCAGTTCCAGGGGCCCCAACACCCATGGCAAAATGCCAATACACATAAAATAAAATAAATACAGGTTTAATGCAGCTAACCTACCTAATACCACGGCTTAGACCACTTACATTATTAGCCTACTAGGAACAGAACTATTAAAAAATAACTAATAAAATGAGTATTCACATATAAAATATATATATATTAGAATGACCTATAGGCTATGGTCCACCTACAGAAGTGGTTCTCAAGCTGTGAGTTACAACCCCTTTGGGGATTGCATATCAGATATCCTATATATATTACAAAGCTATTCATAGTAGTAGCAAAACTACAATTATGAAGTAGCAACAAAATAATTTTATGGTTGAGGGTCACCACAACTTGTAGAACTGTATTAAAGGGTCATAGCATGAGGAAGGTTGAGAACCACTGAACTAGGCCAACAATGGCTGCTACCTACAGAAAGTCCAAGAGTTCAGTAGTTGTTCAGTCCACAAGGCTGCATGTCTTAGCTGGTCTTCAGTATATGCCAGAATCCTAAAGAAGTAGGTGTTAATGGCAGTGAGAGAATGGACTTGCCAGCAAGAGTTAGAGCAAGCAGGCAAAGAGAACGTTTCCTTCTTCCTTGTCCTTTATTTAGACTTCCAGCAAAAGGTGTGGCCTAGATTAAAGGCAATCTTTCCACCTCCCTACCACAAAAGATACAGATTAAAAAGAGTCTTTCTACTTCAAATTATCTAATTAGGAAAAGTACCCCCTTGCAGGGGTACCCAGCTGCTTGGGCTTTTAATTAATTGCAGATGTAGTCAATCAGACAGCAAAGAATAGCCAGCCATCACACGTATAATGGGTCAAAGTCACCTAGCAGGAGGTCTCTGAACGTTGTACTGAAGGTGGAAGAAGGTGGTTGTGGACATGCCTTTGCCCCACAGTGGCGTTGGACAGTCCTAAGTCAAACCATCCATACAGGGAAGCGAACCCAAAAAGAGATGAGAATGAAAACCCAGTGCAGACTAACTTTGTCAGCCTGGGTCAGACGTCGGGGAGTCCGGTGTCAGGTGGTTCATTGTCACCGTATTTAAAATAGTACAGTTTGGCGAAAGGTTTCCAGGCAACAATCATTCCCATTTGAGGTGCAACAGTCTAGGGAGGGAGAGCCTGGGATGAGCATTCTGAGGGGGTTGGATGAGGGCTGCAGCCTCTAGTGCAAAAAGGTCACCAGGTCATTAACTATCCACTCCCAGCCTTCTGGATGGGAAAACAGGTGTTTCATCTCCTCCATTGAGGAGGCCCCTGTGTTCAACATTCCTGGTTCCCTAGTATTCTGTGGCACAAGGACCTTTGGGCTCTAACACAAATCAAAGGCTTTTCATTTATCTGGGGGCATTTCTTGCTAAAGAAGCAGGAAGCTGTCAAGTTAAGAGCAGAGACTCAGTCTGGTGGTGGTGCTTCATACCTGTAATCCCAGTGACTGGGAGACAGAGACAGGAGAATCACAAGTTCAAGGTTAACCTTGGCTATATGAGTTTGAAGTTAGCCACAGCTATATGAATCCCTGTCTCAAAACAAAAATGAATAAGTAAGTAAGTAGCACAGGCTGTAACATTTTGAACCCCAGTTCAGCCATCTGCTGTGGCATTAGCCAAGTGGTCCCAGACCTCTTTGCTTTGGCTCCTTAGTTTGTCATGGACTTAGAAATAAAAAGACAGCAGCATCCTATGGTTCACCTGGAGATTCTTTGAGGTCATAGGCCATGTGAGAGCCCATAGGTGTTATCTGTGCTGTGGCTGCAGAGCATTCTGACAGATGGACAGTCACATTCATCGTCCTACAGCCATCCTCAGCAATGGTAATTTTCACCCCCAGGCTACAGTGAGTGACATTTGGTGACAACAAGAGGAAGAGTACAATTCTGATACCTGTCAGTGCATGGGACAACCTGTGATGATGTAGAGTTGGCTGTAACCTTGCTGTTTGGAGTTTGTTTGCTCACTTCCTATCGGCAGGAAGAATGCCAGCTCCAAAGAGTAGTAATGTTTCCAGCCCTGAGCATCCCAGCCACAGGCAGACACTGAGTCTGTGAGACTCAGACTCCAATCCCAGGAGACCTGCATATTATAAGACCTTGGGTATGAGGTACCACATTTCAGAGCCTCCATCTGAAAATAGGAGTATAAGTAGTTAAGAAACCTAGAGTAGAGGTTAATACTACAGGCACCATGGTCCAGACAGACCTGAGTTCAAATCACAGCTGCTTAATTGGTGAACTTTGGAAAGTGACCCAGCCAAGGCTCACTTTCCTCATCTGTGCAATGGGTTAATAAACCCCTTCCTCATCCAGAGAGTTCATTTGGGTATTAAAGGAGCTGATACAAGTGATAAGTGGTTTTCTCTGAACCCTGAATACTGATGGTGACAAGATGGCAAACAAAATGAGTATCATGGGCAATGTATCTTCATGAGTGAGCCCACCCTCTCGTGTGGAGGAGGGGGCCAGCCTGATGCCTCCTTGGCACTGGTTTCTGACACATTGCCTTCCCTCCCCCTCTTGCAGATCTGTGCTATCATTGGTGGGACCTTCACTGTTGCTGGCATTCTGGACTCCTGCATCTTCACAGCCTCAGAAGCATGGAAGAAGATCCAGCTAGGCAAAATTCACTGACGTCCTGCCCAGCCCAGTGACTGAGGACCAGGGACCCTGCTAGCCCGCCTCCAGCACCCTATCTCCTTCTGCCTTCTTTGGCCAGTGTGTGTGGGAGGAGGGTGGTGGTGGTAATGGGTGGCACAAGGTTCCACAGCTACCTCTTTCCCCATGTTTTAGATAAATTAACACTGCCTGGAGTCATGGTGTCCCTTTCCCTACAGAGCCCCAAGACTGGAGTGAGGCATGGGGAGGTACTCCAAAGATGCTGGTGACCCCTCATGGGATAGGGAATAGCCCAGAGTCCCCACAGAGCATCTCTCAGCCACGATTTGACAATCTTTAAGCCCCCACCATTTGAATACACTAACAGCTCAGTTTCTCCCCCAGCAGCCAACCTGAGGTCTCAGCCTTGGGACCAGGCTGCCCAAAGGTACTGCTGCCTGGCACTTTGGGCATGGAATGGTACTTGGCAGGCAAGCCCCTAGATATGGCATTGTAGCTGGAACTTGCTTGTGCCCCATTGCTTAGTGCCCATCCTAGAGCCCGGGTCTTATCCCTTGCCCCACGCCTGGTGCCCCTTCCTCTGTTGTCTTTGCTCTTCTGAATTCCCCACCAATGTGCCTCAGCCGCTGTGCTATGTGGCAATAGCATTTCTTGGTGAAGGGGCTGGTTCCCACTATGGCAAAGTTCCCTCGACATACACTGTTACATTCTGCAGTATCATGGTTAGGGCCATGTGACTGGGAGGTGGTCCTTGGAGGACCAGGTAAAGCACAGTCTGTGCACTTCTGTCCAATCCAGAAGCACCCTTCCCTACGAACCACCACTGATCTTGTCTTGGCATCCACCTTTGGTTCCAAGGCCTTAGCTGGGGGAATGAAGCAGATCAGCTTCTTCTCATTGCACCTCTACCTTGTAGGCTCCCAAGGGTGCCCAGGGTTTGGGACCCACTTGCCATTGACATCTCCTGTTAGCTGAGCACATACCAACAAGTTCCCAGCCCCAGGACACCCCAGTGTCTCCTCTCCTTCCCCCTGAGGTGGATCCCTTCCCTCCTCCCCACCCTCATCCTTCCCTTTTTGTCCTAAAGGGAGGGGCAGTGGTCCAGGCATGAATCCCATGTGGAGAATTTGAGCTATGCTCTCATGTCCAGAGAGAGCCGCATGCCTGGGCTTCATTTATATGAGAGTGCTTACATACTTTTGTAATGAATGGGAGTCTCCAGTAGGAAGTGTTTTTATTTTTGATTTGTTTTTCTTGAGTAATGTCTTATGGGTAACTGGATTCTCTGCCGCTTGTAATTTTTGCCTCAGAATTCCAATTAGCAAAACTTCTGTTGTGTACGTAAACTGCCCCTGATTTATTTCTGGTATTTGGCCACTTGGACGGACTTTTTTTTTTTTCTTTTTTTTAAACATTCTGTTCCCCAATTACAGAAACCAGTCCCTTTGGTGTGTAAATCTGTCACCTGTGGAGGGTGGGGCAGGGAGGGACAGGGTGGGAAGTGTGTGGCATGCATATGAGTTGAAATCCCACTTTTGTGAGGGTACAGGGATGTCGGTTTCCCATGGAAGAGACACCTCTGGTCTGTTATTCTTGTAAAGGTATTCTTAAAGGGACATATGTTTCGAGTCTTTCCCACTCACTGGGTTCAAATAGATTATTAAACGACTGCTTTTCAGAAATATTGCTGTGACTCGCCTTGGTTGTAGCTGTGTGGCCTAGAGGCTAGGGTGGGACTGGGAGTGAAATTTAATTCTGCAGGGCACAGGTTGAAAATGCTAAAGAGAGCCAGGCAGGGGTGACTCACGCCTTTGATCCCAGCACTTGGGAAGCAGAGGGAGGTGGATCTCTGTGAGTTCAGGGCCAGCCTGGTCTACAGAGCGAGTTCCAGGACAGCCAGGGCCACACAGAGAAATCCTGTCTCAATAAATTAATAAATAAATAATAAAAGAAGAAAATCCTGGGGAAGATCTGTTGAGTATCAAGAGACTCCAGCAGGATGTAAAACCATTGACCTTCACTATTCTAGTTGGCTTTATCACAACTAGATTGAGTCTTGTAGAGAGGGTTATGGAAGCTTCTAGAAAGAAAGCTTCTTCTGATCAAATTTAACTATGGGTACCTTAGGAAGGGATCATCCTGGGATTTGGGGATTTGGACGTCACTGAAGGCCACAGGTGACACAGACCAATCAGACTGACAGTCCATTCACCCGTAAGGACCCTAGTTTTGCTAAAGTGTCTGAAAAAAAAAAAAAAGCCATTTCCTGTTCTTCCTCAAGCAACCAGAAATTTGGGGAAACCCACCTGGGGGTGCCACATGTCTGGAAAGCAGAACGCCAAGTGGACTGTCTCCATGGACTTCTGGTTACAGAATTAATAGATTGGCAGATGTGTCTGATGTTGTCAGGCAACATTGAGGGATAAGTTGCTATTTTTATGATTTCTCCCTTTTGATGGTCTCTGCCCAAATGTGGATGAGAGATACAGAGCAGGACCCATACAGTGGTGGCTCATAGGCTTGACCATGGGCATGAAGGAACCTGGGAGGCAGTGGTAGAGGCGTGTATCACTGGGAAAGCGTCAGGTGTTTGAGAAATGGATATCCCCTCACAGAGGAAGCCTGGGAAGATATGAAACAAAGCAGTGGACTCAGAATAAGGAGGGGCAGTTAGGTTTCATTCCTTGACATCACAGTAAGGTGTTTTTATTTGCTAGAAAAAAATGACAGGCCATTCGCGTTTCAAATACCTTTTTAAGAAAAATCTTTGGGGGGGGGAGGATGGCTCAGCAGGTAAAGGAGCTTCCTACCAAGCCTGGTGATACACAAGATGGAAGAATTAGCTCCCTCATCTGTCACTGGACATCATGCATGAGTGTATGCATATACAAGTATATAAATGTAATTTAAGAAAATAGTTTCAGAGCCAGCAAGGTGGCTCAGTAGGTACCTGATGACCTGAGTTCAATCCCCAGCCCATGTAAAGGTGGAAGGAGAGAGCAGTCTTCACCAAGTTTGTCCTTTGGCTTTCACATGCATGCTGTACCATGTAACCCTGCCCCCCCACATAATAATAAATAAAATTTATGTTATCTTAAAATGAGTTTTGGGGCTGCAGGTGTAGCTCAGTGTTAGAGGCCCTAGGCTTATTTCCCCAGCATCGAAACAGCAATCAGAGAAACCTGGTGTGCTTCTAGAAAGTCCATTATCTGTCATGAGCAAATGTGAGAGGGACATATGTACAAGAACATTCTCTGAAGACCCTTTTCCTCCCCACAGCTGTTTCCTGCCAGTTCTTTGCTGATGAGGTCATGCATTTTATTCTAACCTGTCATTGGGAGGATTGGGCATTCTCAGCGTGCCAGGAAGAACCAGGCAAAATTGCACCCTGGTCACACAGCTAGTAGGTGGTATATTTGGGATTCCAACTCAGACCTGCCTGAGTGTGGGGTTATAAAGAAACACGGGGGAGGGGTGGGGCCTGCCCCAGCCCCAAGATCATCAGAGCTGTGTCAAAAGGGGAAACCGGAAGTAGAAGGAGGGGGATCAGAGCAGGAGAACCCCTTGTTTGTGTTTTCTTTTGTCTTTCCCCCCTTAAAGCAGTGGTTCTAACCCTTCCCAAATGCTTCAACCCTGTAATACAGTTTCTCATGTTGTGGTGACACCCAACCATGAAATTATTTGTCTTGCTACTTCTTAACTGTAATTTTGCTACTGTTATGAATCATATTGTAACTGTTTTTGAGAAATTTGCCAAAGAGTTTGTGACCCACATATTGTGGTGACCCCCAACTATAAAATTATTTTCCTTGCTACTTCATAACTGCAATTTTGCTACTGTTGTGAATCATAATGTAAGTATTTTTGAGAGAGAAATTTACCAAAGGCTTTGTGAGCCACAGGTTGAGAACCACTGCTTTAGATCAACCTGTGGGGTACTGAGATGATAAGTTAAAAGTGCTCCCCAAAGTGCTCCCCACGTCTCCCATCAAGCTCTGTACATGTAGCTGCCAAATGAATCAATACATCAATGAGCATTGGAGGAAATGTGTAGGAAATGACTTGAACGTGCAGGAGAAGAGTCTGAGCCACTGAGTCAGTGAGTGAGTTAACTTCCGTGATGACTGCTATGAAGACAACCCCTGGCCCTTTCTGTACACAGTCATGCCTGCACCTGCCCCTGGTGTTTCCACTGAAAGTGACAGACACTGGGCATGGGGGTGCACACCTTTAATCACAGTATTCGTTCGAAGTCACTGATGACACTTTCCCAAACCTGGACACACTGTCAATGGATGTCAGTGTGTCAGCCTGGACACGCGGACAGTGGATGGCACTGAAGTCACTGTGGTCTCTACAGTTTTAACTGCAGTAGCATACCTTGCCCAAATGGAGCCTTCCCCCCAAAGATCTCCAACACTGTTTGCAGGGGCCTCTAAAATAAAGTCCTAAACAGGACCCTGCACTAGTCAGAGCCCCAGTATTACTGGTGTTGGACTTCTGTGTTACCAACCCTAATAAGCTAAGAATGTCCATTGGACCATCCTAAAGGTAGCTTTTCGGTATTGGGAAAGACATCCTTTCTGAGTCTTAAGGTCTACATCTGTTAAGTGAGCATTACGTCATAGCCAGCATCTGAGACAAAGTAGGTATTGCTCTTTCATTACAGAATAAAAGGCTGGAGAAAGAAGGGAGGGTCCTGAGTGAGGGTCCCAAGTGAGTGGGGTCCCAAGGTAAGGGACCACGTGGGAGAGCATAGCAGGTTCCATAGCAGGACAGGGTGACCAAGGTGGGAGGGAATAACACACCAGGCAGATAGAGCTTAAATGAGGAGTTTATTTAGAAAGGGGAGTGAGGGAGAAGGGAAGAGACAGAGGCACTGGAAACAGAAGAGGAGAGAGGGGGAGAGAGGGAGAAAGAGAAGGGGGTAGCTGGTGGCCAACCAAAAGCAAGAGAACAAAAGAGAAAGCAAAAGAGAGCGTAAGTGGGCAGGGGTCTAACTTTTAAAGGGGTCCTTTAAACCTGCCTGCAGACTAGTACTCATGGAACCCTGGGCTGACCAGAGTACTGCCTGAGTGCAGTCTGCCAGGCCGGCGTAATGCCTGAATCCTTATAGTAGGTGTTCAGCAGATGTACAGTGAATGGATGAATTGGAGGGCTAGAGATGATGAACGAATAATACTTTACACAGAATAAACACTTCGGGCTTCTAATATGAAAACAGCGTAAGCTGGAAGCCTTTTGCCTCCCTCCTGGTCGCCACAGTGCTCAGAGAGGGCCTTCACAGGGCTGGTGCCTCCTTCAGAGAATATGGCACACCAGGACCAAGACTTCAAGCCCAGAGGATGTGCAGCGTGTCTTAATCCGACAAACCTGCAGGTGGTGCCCACGCTACCGGCAATCTTCTAACAAAGGCGGAGCAAAGCTCCTTCGCTTGGGGCCCGATCTAGGAGGTGGGCAGGAATGGCCGCAGACTCCCGAGATGGTCAGCAGGATCTTTCATAAATCACTCTCAAGCAATTAAAAAAGTAAAGGAGGCACACCACATTCTCGCTGGCATGATGCATCGCTCATGTTTTCATCAAACAGAAAGCAAACGGTTTGCATCATTGAAATTAATTTTAGGACTCTGAGCACTGAGGATATAGAGACCAGTATTAATTAGAGCGCCAGTCCCGAGCATGAAATGTCTGAATGTGAAGACTGCAGCAAATGCAAAGGCTGTCTTTTGGATTACCCTGAGTGAGCACATACACACCTGCTCTTCTTAAGAAGATTGATAACTGCTTTGTGCCAGGCACTGGTCTGAACACATTAGGAAACTCATTTAATTTTCACGGCAACCTACTAAGAGCATTCTCATTCTACAGATCAGAAAATTAAGACTAGATAGCAGGCAGTTCCCAGATTCAGCAAGAAAGACACACTTGGGACCAGGTATGACTTTATGGTCTAAAGGCTAAACAAACAACAGAGGGTTTGAGTGTTAAAAAAAAAAAAAAAAAAAAAAAAAAAAAAAAATACCAAACACTGATAATCCTCAAAATCAGATTTGAGGAACAGGGAAGTATAAGTCAGTGATAAAGTGTGTGTTTAATGTGTTGAGTTACTGGATTCAATCCATAGCACCAATCAGATGGCTTTTGAATGGTGTGTCATGGCATTGAAAGAATTTGGACAATGTACAATCACTCTGATACATGGGCAGATTTCACACAAATTGAACCAGACACAGGTAGAAAATATTTAGATAAAAAGTAATTGTGCATCTAAACTGAACATGTACAGATTTTTTTTCATTTTTCACTTTCTAAGAAATACAATATAAGAATTCATATAGCCTTTACCTTGTACTAGATGTTATGTCTAGACATGGTTAAGTGTGCAGGAGTACATGCATGGGTTATATTCATATGCAGGCATTATGATGGAATGGATTTGAATATTCATGCATGGAGGCTCTGTAACCAGGAGACTGAGAACAACTGTGCAGTACAAACATACTCATGTGACTTCTACAGACTCCTCTGTTGAGGGCAATGGGAGTGAGGGTGGAGTGTTTGGAGTTGGTGAGAAACATCAGCAAGGAAATGGGAATACACGTGGCTCAGTGATAGAAGTGTTACTGGGAGATAGGGAGTGGGTTTTAGTCTTACTGATAATATTAATTTTTAAAAACTGGATTCAGAATGAACTTGAGAACCATCTCATGGGCAGGCAAGCTGCTACTAGGAGGACAGAGAAGAATCCAAGAAAGGTCCAAGAATGCAGGCAGGCTGGTAGTGGAGGTCTGAAAGCAGCTTGTAGGTATGGGTGGGGCGTGGGGAGATGAGAGGTGGGTGGGATGGTAATGCCCAAGGTGTCATGGCAAGCAAGGTCAGCATTTTAGTTATTACATATCCTCCTTTTCCTCTGGTATTTTAAATCTTAAGGAGGGTGCTTCCCTTTTATGAAATTGGTGTGGATGAAGAAAACAAGAGGTGGGAGGCTGATCTGATCTGAAGGGAGTGTCTCTCCTCAGTGGCCTCCAAGTCGTCTAATGCTTATCTGTCTGTCTACCCAACGGCTGTTTGTTTTGGTTTTGAGAGAGGGTCTCATATATAGTCTAGACTAGCTTTGAACTTCTGATCCCCTAGGCTCATCCTCTCCAGTACTGGAATGACAGGAATGAGACACTAGGCCAGGCTAGAGAAGGTCCCAAAGCCTGGATTTGGTCCCCAGCACAAAACCTGAAACTGAAGCCTGAGAAGCATCGAGGAGCTTCTTTTGCAGGTCGTACAAAGCAATCCCATCTCTTAGGACCTAAGACTTGGGTTCCAGCCTGTGGCCTAGCCCGCTCCACTACTGGGAGAGACCAGCACCGAAGTTCGACTCCAGCCGCAGGAGGCGCTGTTCCGCTTTCCTGCAGCAGAAAGCGGAGCCTCACATCCCTTCTGCGAGTGAGCCACCGGGAAACGTCATATCCGGTCCTGCGTGCACTGCACCGGAGCCGGAACTGGTGGATGAGTGGTGGCGGTTGCCCCAGGATTCCTTCTTGGAAAGTGACCTGGCTCTTCCCTACCTCTTGCGGTGCTCTTTACAGGGGGAATCACCGGCAAATTCCACCGCTTGGTGACCTCGGACCGCATCATAAGCCTCAAATGCCACTTCAATGTCCACTCTCACGTGCTCCGGAAGACCGTGTCTTCCTAGCTGTCCAAGGAACTGTGACAGAAGTACATCCTCTCCGCGCCCACCTGCAAGGACGACGATCCAGGTACATCCAGGAGTCCTCGGGTTCTAGTTTCCCAAGGACATATGCCTCAGTCACCCCCTTAACATGAAATCCCGGAGTAAGCACTTACCCCAAGACCTCAGTACGGCGTCAGAATTCGCAGACGTGCTAGATCAGAGCCAACTCAGAGCATTCATTACCTCGATAATAGTGATAAAATAATATGCCAAGACTGCAAACATCTGCTTTCTCAATTTAGCCCACTAACTGTAGCTAATGATGCTCCTTGAACCAGTCTTTGAAGGAGTAGGTGCTGCAATATCTCTTTGAGTTTAGCAGAATTGGTGAACGGAAACATGAGGGAGTCGACCATGCAATATACTAGATGCGACAGAAATGCGTAGGAAGCAGCAAATCAGAGGTGCAAAATGTTAAAAGACCGTATGTTCTCAGTGACTGGAACATAGGATGTGACAGGGCTGTGGAGGATGAAAGGGGCAGAGATTAGATTTGCTTGCTGGAAGGGGGACTATGCACTTAGCAGGCATTCATTGTTCTGAACGTGAGCTGTGAACAGAATCGAGGAAGCCTAAATTACATAGTGAGATTTGTCTCAAAAAAAAAAAAAAAAAGGAAAAAAGTTCCCTGCACTGTGCTCTATATCACTTATGGATACCCTCGAGTCTCATCCCTGTCCCTGCTGCCTTGTAAAATCAGCTTTGAGCTGAGATCACCTCTGGATAAATGCAGTGGCCATATTTATTATCGATGGCACTACCATAGTTACCATAGTTGAGTTCATGCTTGCAATTTCTCAGACTCCTTTTATGGTTAAGTTTTTGTCCCTCTGATCTCTACCTAACTCCTGGAATTCATCAAGGCCTGGGTCTGGTCTAACATTCCTCTTTATTTAGTGTTCTCCCCAAGCTTTCCATGTATATTTTGTAATAGCAATTCCCCACTTTTTAAAATTAATTTAAGATAGGATATCATTATTTAGCTTAGGCTGTTTTTGTTGGTGGTGGTTTGTTTGTTTGTTAATTGTTGTACTAGGGAGCAAACCTGGGCCTTAAGCCTACTAGGCAAGCACCCTTCTACTGAGACACAAGCTCAGACCTCTAGACTAATCTTGATCCTAACACTCCTCCCAGCTTCTGAAATCTGGATTTTCCTCTCAGGTTCTATATGTCACTAAGTGACATATCTCACCAGGTGGCATGAGTCTTTACATTTTCCTTAATGACCTTAATGCTGAACAGGGTCATATCCCTGTAATCCCAACATTTATTGTCCTATTGTGATAAAAGACACTTGTATCACTTTAGTCACTTTTGATGTCTCTTTCTGACCAGTGATTACATTTGCATATTTTCTTGTTAACTGGTTATTGCCCCTCACACTTAAGGCCCATGTGCCTTAAGTGTCATGTTTGTTGCCTCTTAGCAGGGTTCAGTCAATACTTGTTGAATAGGAAAAGGATTATTAACTAGATGAATATGAAAGCTGTGATAAAGGAGTTCTTAAACGTATATATGAGGTGTGACTTGTGTTTTCTTTTAGATATGAAGAACTGAAACTCAGGTTAAATAATTGAGAACATGGAGTTGAGGATGACAATGATTCCTGAGTGTGGGAACTACAGGCCTATGCTACTGTGCTAGACCTGAGCAGGGCCAGGCATGTGCATACTGAGCACACCCTCCACTGACTCCACTCCCAGCCACAGGTCAGTTTTGTGTTTGTAGTGCTAGGGTTTGAACCCAGGGCCTTGTACATACTAGTCAGGTGCTCTTGCATCCCCAGGCCCGTAATATAGTGTGGTTTTCAAATGGTTGCATAGTAGTCTTTTGGAATTTTCTTTTCTTTCTTTCTTCCTTCCCTCCTTTCTTTTTTTCTTTCTTGGAAATTTCTCTTCCTTCCTTCCTTTTTTTTTTTCAAGACGGAGTTTCCTCTGTGTAGCCCTGGCTGTCCTGGGACTCTCTCTCTGTAGACCAAGTTGGACTCATACTCAGAAAACCTCCTGCCTCCACCTCCCAAGTGCTGGGATTAAAGGCATGTACCACCACAGCCCACCTATAGAATTTCCTTAACACCATTTTCTATTTAGATGTTGAAAGCTAGACTGTGGCTTGGTGGTAGAACTTTCCTAATGTGCAAAAACCTGGCTTCTGTCTTGTTATTTAGAAAATGATTATATTCTCCTAATTTTTAAAACATTTATTATTTATTTGAATTATGTGTATGGATACATGTGTGCCGCTGTACACATATGGAGGTTGGAGGACAATTTGTGGGAGTTCTCTCACTGTGTGGGTCCCAGTAATGAAACTCATGTCTTTAGTCCTGGTGGCAGTGGTCGTTACTCGGTGAGCCATCTTTCCTGCCCTGTATTTTTTAATCTCAAGACTTTCTTTGTAATGATTATCCCTGGCTGAGGAAGATTTTCCTTCTTCCTTAAGTAAATAAATATTGGCAAACAATCTCTGCACAACCAACCATAAGACAAGTGTATAGCACAAAAGCCACCTCTGACTGCCAAGTCTGTTTTTGTTCAGAAGTTTGTATATTTAGCCCATGTGTTCCTGACAGCTTCCTCCATGTGCTATGCTGTCCTAGGTGGTTTGAGGACACTACAAATGTCAGCAGGTCAGCAAGGCAGTCCAAGTGTACAGAAGTCAGTATGCCAGCTACATGAGGTACAGCACGAGAAGGCTAACAGCACGACTGTCTGTGTGGACATGTACCTACAAGGTAGGGTTCCCTGGCTGAGTGTCTGCATAATGGAAATAGTTGAGGCCTAGAGATAGGCCAGGCAGGCTTTGTGGCATCAACAAGAGGAGCAGTGGTTCTCAACCCTCACAGGGGTTACATATCAGATAGCCTGCATATCAGACATTTATATTACAATTCATAACAGTACGAACTGTTATGAAGTAGCAATGAAATAATTTTATCGTTGGGGGTCACCACGACTTGAGGGACTGTATTAAAGGGTCCCAGCCGAGAAGACCCTTCTGTGCTGCCATTCTTGATGATGGCTGTCACCCCAGGTGGGTGACGAGGGCTCAGGCATTCTAAGCATCGCTTGTCCACTAGAAAAAGTCCTGAGAGAAAAAGGCAAAGCTTTCTTCTTGGGCATCCCTACCCAGGAAAGATGTGCTATTCACCTTTGAACTCTCATTTCACACTGCTGCAGTTTTCTTCTCTTAGTTTCAGATCCATAAACTGAAGGGTTAGGATCCTGTCTTCATAGTTCCTGTATTATTACCTGGGAGCTGGTGAGGATCCAGATGATGGTTATTATTATTAAGCTGTACATTTTTTTCCCACTCCCTTTTCCTTTCCTCTTCAACCTCCCTCCTTGTCCCCCATGTCCCCAATTTACTCAGGAGATCTGTCTTTTTCCCTTTCCTAGGCAGATCCACATATGTCTCTCTTAGGGTCCTCTTTGTTACCTAGGTTCTCTGGGGTTGCAGCCTGTAGGCTGGTTACCCTTTGTTTTTTACCACTGAGTGGTACTCCATTTTCCTTATCCATTCTGCCAAGTATGAGAGGTATCTAGGTTGTTTCTAGGTTCTGGCTATTATGAATAATGCTATGAATATAGTTGATCAAATGTCCATAGAGTGTGACTGTTCCCAGATTTTTTCTAAGCAGTGTTTTTCTCTGGGAACCTCAGGGAATCTGAGGTGTTGGGCTTGGCTGGCAGGAAGACCCTGAGGGTGGCTCCACTGTTGGGGGTTGTAAATGGAGATTATAAATTCCTTCCATTTAAAATTCTGTATCCTAACAGGTAGTTATCACCAGGCTGGAACCAGACTAAGACAGAAAAAGAATTCTTCAACACAAAGCCAAGTCTCATCAAGTTGGAAAGAGAAAGGCCACTGTAGGGTCTCACCAAGGATGCAGGAGTGAAATGAGCTGTCATGCAGCCAGGGCTAACTGCAGAAGCCTTGTCTGGTGCTGGCTTCTTTGAAACTTTTCAAAATGTGTCTGATGTGTTGCATTGTTTACTTGTTTTGCTACTGACCTGTCAGTCATTCTGAAATTGATAATTTATGAATAAAAATTGGAACCATTTCCCAAATGTCAAGTGGCATTTGCATTATTTTATAAGTGAAACCCTTCTCGTCCACCCTTCTGTCAGTCTCTCAGATGTTTATATGTGGGGCAGCACGGTCTAGATAGGCCTGCTCTTTGCACCTGTGGAAGTGGGGAGGCAGGGCTCTGGTTTCTGAGGCAGAGGCTTGACTGATTGGTATCAGGATACCAACTGGCACCCTCAGAGCCCACTGGGTTCCCACTGCTGTTTGCCTGCACACCAAGCCTGATGGTTCCCAGGCTTCCTGACTGCTATTCCCAGATCCCTTCTATTTTTTCGCCCCTTGGTTTTTGAGACAGGGTTTCTCTGACTACCCTGGACCAGGCTGGCTTTGAACTTACAGAGCTCCACCTGCCTCTACCTTGAGAGCTGAGACTGAAGGTATGCTGTAGTGGCATCTTGGCCAGCAAACTTAAGTAGTGACCGCACCCTTTGGCATGGTTTCAGGTGCAGACAGGACCCTTTTAAGATAGAGGAGCTACGGGCTCATGTCTCTTGGGGTGAGGAGAGCATCGGAAGGGCAGAGACTGCATCTTCTGGAGCAGGAAAACCACAGAATAGATGTTTTATTAGGGAAGAACTTACACAGGTAACAGTAAATAACCGCCGAAGCCTTCCAAAGGGTGTGGCCACTACTACAAGTTCACTGGCAAGGCAAGATGCCACTACAGCGTGCATGCACCACCACTGTCTGACTCCCAGATCCCTTCTTAACCCAATGAACCAGGCAGGTCTCTTGCAGCTCCTTGCCCAGGCTCCCTTTCCCAGGTCTAGACTTTGTAAATATGTTTTCTAATTGAAGTGTTCTTCCACTGGCACTAACTCAGGAACTAGTGAGATTTGAGTTTGTATTTTTAGCTTTTACCCAGTTCCAGCGTTTTTCATGGGAGATTCTCATGAGTTGCCTGTTAGGCCCAGTTGGACAGCATCCTCACTGCCCTCCTGTACGGGCCCGAGGCTGAGGCTTGAACTCCCTCCTGCCTTTACTTGTATGGCTCCCACTGGCATGTAGGTTTTAGACTCCATTAAACTTCAGATTGAGCTTCCGGCTGAAGTACTTCACCACCCCTGGGGAGTCATGCTTTGTTATAATGTATTAAATGGCCTTTTTTCCTTTGTATACTAGAATGGAGCATGGGGCCTTGCACATGTCAGAAACATCCTGTACCACCCAACTCTGCTCCCTGTTCCTCTTTCTCCCTATATGAAAAACTACAACAAAAAGCAAGAACTACTCTTTCTTGTTTTAATATTTCATTAATTACTGTAATTTTTAGGTAAGACTTCACTATGTAACCCTGGCCTTGAAGTTATGTCCCTCTTGCCTCCAGAATGTCAGGATCATAGGCAAGCAGTGCCCATCTTTAGCTGTGAAAATTAAAGCAGCAGGTCACCAATCCTGCCTGACTGTAGGAGTCACATCCTTGTTTCTGTTAGTTTCCACCCTCTTTCCCTGTGTGTCTCATATGAACTTGGTAATTCTTAAATCCACACAAACTTGATTTGTGTCTAGCGTATCTACCCAGCATACAGAGTGGTTGCCTACCACAGCAGAGGTGTAACCTGATGAGTGAGGTCAGTCATTTTTGAGTGTTTTGAAATTTGTGTTAATATAGGCATTTTGCCTGCATATTTATCTGTGCACCATGTGCATGCAGTGCCTGAGAAGGCCAGAAGAGGGCATCACAAAACCCAAAAGGGTTGTGAGCCACTGTGTGGGTGCTGAGAATCAAACTGGAGACCTCTAGAAGAGCAGACAGCTCTCTTAACTGCTGAGCCATCTCTCTAGCCTCATGCTGTTGGTTATTTTCTATCAATTTTGTCTTCATTCTCAATCAGCTTAAATTTGGGAGTTCAAAAATTGACTAAAGTTAGATGTCCTCAAAGTTTACAGCTGTTCAAGAATTCTCTAGAGGAACAGAACCTATAGAATGAATATATACAAAAAGGGCATTTATTAGATCACTTCCGGTACTGCCTGAGCCATCCAACAATGGCTGTCTTCACACTGGAAAAACAACCCAGTAGCTGCTCAGTCCTCAAGATTTTCCCTTGGATCTCATATCTGGACTGCCACCCAACGGCTCCACTCTCTTTTATGCTGGGTCTCCCCTCTTCAAATGACTGATGAAATAATCCCTCCCTGGTGTGTCAATTGTCTTTCGGTTAATTCCAGATTCAGGAAAGGTGACAACCAATGTGAACCCTCACACAGCCTGTAAGCTTAGGAAGCAATGGTGCTCAACGCTGTGGCTGCTGAGGGTGTGGTGTAACACCAGGCTGTGTTCCTCCCGTCACAGATTCCCACACAAGCACACAGAACCCAGCCTATGCCACATACCCCACCCTAACCTGGCTAGATGTGGTTTATGGCCAGGAGACACACTGAAGCCAGAGCGGGGGAGGGGGGGTGTGTTCACCTCCTCAATGGACATGCACCTGCAGCTGATCCCATTGTGATCTCTGAATCATAATGATCAGGCACTATGGCATCTTAGTGATTATTGCTGTGAAGAGTCACCATGACCACAGCAACTCTTATAAAAGAAAGCATTTGATTGGGGCTTGCTTACAGTGTCAGAGATTTGGTCCATTATCTTCATGGTGGGAAGCATGGCGAGGAATGCAGACAGGCATGATGCTGGAGAGGTAGCTGGGTGTTCCACATCAGATCCACAGGCAGCAGCAAGAGAGAGACACTGGGCCCAGCTTGGGCTTTTGAAACCTCAAAGCCCACCCTAGTGACAAAAGCACCTATTCCAACAAAGCCACACCTCCTAATCCTTCCAAATAGTGCCAGGACCTGGTAACTAAGCATTCAGATATATGAGCCTATGGAACCCTTCTTATTCAAACCACCACAGGCTTGCTGGGAGGCACTTGGGTGAACTTACTACAGTGAGTTGTGGACTTTGGCTGTGTGCCGAAAAGCACAGGAGTGAGGTGGGAGAGCCACAAGCTACAGTTGCTGCCGAGGAAAGCAGGGGCAAGCTTGAGTCAGCAGGACAGACATGCAGGACTCCTGCACTTCACTGTTAAAAAGCCTTAAAAAGAAAGCAGAAGATGGGGTGGGGGGGGGTAGCTCAGCAGTTAAGAGCACTCAAGGCTCTTGCAGAGGACCCTGCCCCTACATCGGTTATGATGACCTCTGACCTCTGCAGAGGTACACAAATCTCAAATGGGTACATATACATACATGTACATACACATACATTTTTTAAAGGTTTATTTATGTATTATGTACAGTGTTCTGTATGTATGTATCCCTGGGGGCCTGAAGAGGGCATCAGATCTCTTTACAGATGGTTGTGAGCCACCATGTGGGCGCTGGGAATTGAACTCAGGACCTCTGGAAGAGCAGCCAGTTCTCTTAACCTCTGAGCCATTTCTCCAGCCCTACACATACATTTTTTTTAAGTCTTTAAAAATATTCTAAAAAAAGAAAAGCTGGGTGGTGGTGGCGGCATATACCTTTAATCCCAGCACTCTGGAGGCAGAGGCAATCAGATCTCTGTGAGTTCGAGGCCAGTGTAGTCTACAGAGCTAATTCCACGACAGCTAAGGCTATTACACAAAGGAACCCTGTCTCAGAAAAACAAAATCTAAATCTAAACAACAACAAAATAGAACTGTTTGTAATACCAGCATTCAGGAGCTGCACACAGGAAAATCCCAAGTTGGAGAGCACCCTGGGCTCCATAGCCAGTTCTATGGCAGCCTGGCCTATGTAGTCAAACCCAGTCTCTCTCTCTCTCTCTCTCTCTCTCTCTCTCTCTCTCTCTCTCTCTCTCTCTCTCTCTCTCACACACACACACACACACACACACCTTGAAGATATTATGCTAAGTGAAATAAACCCACTGTGGACAGACAACAGCTGTGTGGTTCCTCTTTTAGGGGGTTCCAGGCCTGATGGGAGGCTTTTGTTTAACAGACAGGAAAAACATCTAGAGAGCATGGTGGCACTTGCCTGTAAATCCTACCACTAGAGGCCATGACAGGGGGAATCACCTGGTTGAATCTATTCTGGCTCTAGTGTGAGTCCTAGAAATGTTTGAACAACATGTAAACAATTGTTTCTAAACAGTCTTAGGATAAAGTGTATGCTATGTGTATCAGAGCAGATTTAAAGGAAACAAGGAGTAGCATGTGAGGGAGGCAGGAAAGCTGCTTTCTCTTCTTTAGTTCTGGCCATCTTACCCTGTCTTGCTTATACAGTTCAGCTGCACAGTGGTTCAGTGGGGACAGCCTATGTCTATAATGCACAATGGTTAAGTGACCACATCCTATGTCTGATATACTCCCAGAAACAACAAGCAACTGGACAGTGCCCGTTCTCCAGATGAAACATGTAGGCATGTCCAAACTTATGACATTGCAACATGACATTGTCATCTACAAAGTTCACACCTGAGACTCACAATTAGCAGCCCTTCCCCCACCCCATTAAAAAAAAAAACAACAAAAAATCTCATAAGGTTTAAATAAGCTTAAGATCCTATGTTGGGCCACATTCATAGCTATCCTTAGGCACAGGCTGGACACTGAAGGGTTTGACAAGATCATACACAGACACAAATGTGCTAACAGTAGGCAATGTGCCTTGGCGGTATTTCACCTGGGACCTACAAACATAATTTCTGCTGAGCTAAATTATACAGGAAAGTAGTACCAACACAAAGTATACCAAATGATTCAAAATAAATGCCTCCTCCTCAAAGAAGCAAAATACCTAGTGTGAAATTATCAAAGAATAAATTGTTTTGTTTCTAAGAAGGCTAACTAGTTTTAACTCTGAAGAATGCTAGACAGGTAAAGTCTTGAAATCATTTGGAGAGTTGGTACAGCTGTTAAAAGTTCCAGATGGTTCAGGAAACTAGTCTACTTGATGAAGGAAGGAGAGGATGTGGCTGTTGCCAGGAACCTGGTCCATAGCCTAGCACACTAGAGTCAGCTGAGAGGTCTTCTTTCTTGCTCAATCTGTG